TATATATATATATATAATGTGATGGCCACACGCTTTCCATGCTTGTGGAAAGTTATAGTTCAAAAGTGACATGTTTGGGTATTGGGTTGACAAGGGGTAGATTTGTGAAGGTTTATCTTGTCAACTTGATATTTAGAATCACAATGGAAACAAACCTCTAACGTGTCTAGAAACCTAATTTTCTAGATTAGGTTAACTGAGGTGGAAAGACCCACCTTAAAAGTGGGCAGCTCCATTTCATAGGCTGGGGCCCTGGGCTGCATAAAAATGAGAAAGGGAAGGGAACAGCATGCATTCTCTCTGCTACCTGACCGTAGATACAATGTGACCAGATGCCTCATACTTCTGCAGCTACACCTTGTCTGCCATGACAGACCGGACCCTCAAACTGAGCGTAGAACAAAACCTTCTCTTTAGTTGCTTCTTGTCAGCCACTGAGTCACATCTACAGGAAAAGTAACAAATATCCTTCTTTTTTGAAGACAGGGTCTCACACTCTAGAGCCCAAACTGGCCACTAACTCTTGACACTCCTCCTGCCTCAGCCACCAGGGTGCTAGGATCACAGGCGTGAGCCACCACACGTGGCCAGAAATGTACTCCTAAGGAAAAGCTGGAGATGGCGGCCAGAGCTGGCATCAGTCACTAAGGCTAGGCTCTTGCTCCTTTGCTGTGTGTAAAGTCTGTTCCTGGCTCCTTAGTCCAATGTGGCTGCTGAGTCCAGTCATCACTTCTTCTAGTCACAGGAGGAAAGAAGGGATAAAGATAAGGGAAGCAGAGTACTACCAGCCACCTCTTAAGGAGCTTTCTGGAAGCAGACTAGAACTCCCCATTCACCAGAATTTGAGCACATGGACCCACGCAGACTGGAGGCTGGGGGATTCTAGGTTGCTACCTGCCCCCCAAAAATCAAAGCTTCTTCTCCTACATTGAAGAGAAAGTAGATATTGGAAGAGAACTTGTGACCTCTGCCCCAGTGGAGAGCTATGTTTACATACATTTGCTATCTTGTAATGTCTTTGCCTAAGAATTCTCTTTTCCTGCTCTTCCCTCTTCTTCTCACACAAAGTATCCTTTATGTTTTAGACACTGGAAGCCACTACCTCCCTTGTCATCTGTAGGATTTGTCGGATAAGTGGGAACCCAGAGGCTCCCAGCTCAGTACTTGGGTACCACCAGTGCAGCATCCCTCCTGAGTCAGGGGCTGCCCTGCACTGGCATGTGTCAAACCCCGCTGGGTACTGAGAGCTCAGATGCCCTGACTGGCTCAAGGCTAGTTCCCTTAGGAAGAACAGACACAGTGAAGTCTGAGCTTGCCCTCCAGGGTTAGCAAGCTGACTCTGTCCTGTCACAACCTCATGGCCAGAGCAGCACATACCGCCACTCCTCCACTCAGCAGCCCCACAGGTATCTGAAGAGACAAGTGAGACCTCGAGTCTTCTCTAACCTGGACCAAACGGCCCCATTTTCTTCACTTGTCCCTTGTGTGCCAGCATTTCCAAGTCCTTCAAAATGGCATTGTTCCCCTCCTGGGAAGTCACCACGAATGGACCCCAGCCTCCCTAGGTGGAATCTGGACAGCCTACGAGAGCTCAGACCTCTCACTTCCCTGACCTGGACCCTATGCTTCTATTAATATGACCTATGGCTGCATCAGACCTAGAAATAGCTCATCACTCTGGGACCCCACACTGAGCCCCAATTTACCACAGGAGGGGGACTGACATGTTGATGGTGTGGTGACAACATATGGCTGTTAAGTCATACAAGACTCCTTAAAGTAACTTCCAAGAGATGACGTACCAGGGCAATCCTTGGCTCTGATTTTTTTTTTTTTTTTTTAAAGAGCAAGTCTGACGTGCTCCCGGAGAGCACTACTGCAAAGGCCCAAGTTCCTGTGTCCCAAGGAACAGACAAGGGCATCCAGAGGAATGGGAAGCTGGTGGTCCACCCTTCCTCACCTTGGTGGGTCCTCAGCCATTCCTAAACCAATCACTAGCAAGGGGGATGGGGCCACCATAAGGGGCTCAGCCCAATTCAGAGGCACACACATGTGCTGTGTGTTGGTGGGATGCTCAGGAAGAAGTAAGGGCTTGGGAAACCCCCACTAGGAAGAGAGCAGGTACCCAGAGGCTGTGAAGCCAAGCCATGCTCACTAGTGCCCTTAGTGTCCAGGACGGCCCACAGGATGATCAGGGGCTACCATGGTGGTATGGGAAAGGTGACATGGCTTGCATTCCAAGGCCAAGGGGCCCCAGAGGAGTCAGTCAGATTTCAGGTGGCTCTTCCAAGCGCGTTTCCTGAAAGGTGCTACAGCGTAAGATACAGGAAAGGAGAACAGTTCTGAGGGTGACCCTCAGTGACAGCTGGAACTGATAGGACAGCTACACAGGAACCAGGAAGCTGGAGGCCACCCCAGGTCTGGTGAGCTGAGAGCCATCAACCTATGGATGGTATTTAAAGCCCAGAGAACAGAGAGCCAAACCATGATCAG